GAGAGAGAGAGAGAGAGAGAGAGAGAGAGAGAGAGAGAGAGAGAGAGAGAGAGAGAGAGAGAGAGAGAGAGAGAGAGAGAGAGAGAGAGAGAGAGAGAGAGAGAGAGAGAGAGAGAGAGAGAGAGAGAGAGAGAGAGAGAGAGAGAGAGAGAGAGAGAGAGAGAGAGAGAGAGAGAGAGAGAGAGAGAGAGAGAGAGAGAGAGAGAGAGAGAGAGAGAGAGAGAGAGAGAGAGAGAGAGAGAGAGAGAGAGAGAGAGAGAGAGAGAGAGAGAGAGAGAGAGAGAGAGAGAGAGAGAGAGAGAGAGAGAGAGAGAGAGAGAGAGAGAGAGAGAGAGAGAGAGAGAGAGAGAGAGAGAGAGAGAGAGAGAGAGAGAGAGAGAGAGAGAGAGAGAGAGAGAGAGAGAGAGAGAGAGAGAGAGAGAGAGAGAGAGAGAGAGAGAGAGAGAGAGAGAGAGAGAGAGAGAGAGAGAGAGAGAGAGAGAGAGAGAGAGAGAGAGAGAGAGAGAGATGGTACCTTATTAGCTATTTCATTTGGGGTAGAAGAATTCTCAGCAATCAAGTAAGAATTTGTCAGAGTGCTTTTTCCCATGTCCAAATCTGTCTGTGAAAGTCAAATAAAATTATGAGATTGCTTTTCTTGATTAATTTAGTGAAAAAATATGAATGTGCTATGAACTGATCATGTTTTAGATTAAATCATAGTACCTTCTCCTCTGCCATGGGCTTACTTTTACCTCCAGCATATTCTACATGATCAAGTGCATTCTGCAGACCATGAGATGCAGAATAATTCGTCTTTCCATAGCCAGGGGTGATTGACTCGTCATCTTTCTGGGCATATTCTGTTTTAATTTCCAATTTCTCAGATGCATTGCTTAGTGCTCCTGATGTGAAACTTGGTGAGTCTGAAGATACAGGAAAGGCTTTGATTGGACTTGTAGTTGCATCTCTAGAAGAAGACCATAGCTCGTCAGTGTTACCAAGACTTGCATGGCCAAATATAGAGTCATCATTGCTGCAAAATAACCACTTATGTGAATATTGAGTCAGATGGATACAGCTGCATATTTTTATTATTTAATATGGAAGGTTAAATAAGCTATGTAAAACAATTGGAGTGAGGAGTATCAAAATCTATTACTAATTCATGGTCTGAAACTGTAAATATAATTTAGTACTTTGTATGTTTTTTTTTGTTTTTGAAATGAGACTTTTCTATTAATAATCAAGAGGATAAGTTATCCTCGATCAACAACAAAGATAGAACCTGCTCAGAAATAGCAGGGTTAAGATACGAAAGACATCTAACTTACTACGGACAAAGATAAGACACCCTTATGGACTACTTAATTCCCCTTATTTTAAAACAGCTAACATATCTCTCATGATTATAAAATAATGATAATCATTGAAATGCCCTGAAACAGAAGCCCAAAATTTAACTCTCTCCCACACTTCTTCGATGCTAGCATCTTTGTACTCCTGAAAAATTCTTCGGTTTCGCTCCAACCAAACATTTCAAAAGATAGCGTGAACAAGACATTTCCAGATAGTTTGAGCTCTCTTCCTTTTTCCTGACACCGCCCATTTGATACTAAGAAGATCAACACTGCCTCTAGGGGTCACCCAAGTAACTCCGATTTCACTCAAAAGTTTCCACCATAAGTTTAGTGAAAATGGGCAGTGCATGAGCATGTGATCGGTGTTTCTGCGCTCTTTCTGCATAGA